GCAGGAGCCATTATTGTTTAGACCTGGCCCGGCACTGGCGCACAGGGTGTGTCAGCATGCCTTGGGCTGAGTCACCTTTTTTTGCTGCGGCCCTGTGGACAGAAAGTCCGTCAGGGCCCCACACGGAAGGCTCCAAGGTCCACCTGACAGGGTGTGACATTTACTTTATTCATCAGGTCAAAGAGCCAGGACTGAGCAAAGGCATCGCACAGTTGATGCGTCGGGCAAAGATAGCCTTGTTGGCATATTCGAATGATCTATATCAGAGCTGCAAGGGAGGATTGGCTTGGGAAAGTTGTTGATTCCAGTGTCTTCTGGAAGGACAATGATAGGCATCCGCAGAAATCCCTTATCTAGCAGACTAACCAGAACTTGGGCCGCCCATGCTCAGTCATGTTGGCTACTGGTCGGGTCCATGGGAGGTGGGCATTGGTGACGATTTTGATTGTTGCCTGCACCTCTCATCAGTGGACCTGCTTAATTTGGACATACGTGCACAGCTATCAAGTTCATTGATTGTATTGGTGCGATTCAAAACACATCCAGTTGATTGCATTTGCCACATTTGTACTTATTCACTGGTCCGAATCTGCTAGGCATAGGCTCATTGCCTTGCATACCCGTGGTGCGAAATACTTTGAAGAGGAAAAGTCAGTTGCAGTGCTCTTAGAAGGGCTTGGGCCATGCGTCTGCCATGAACACCTGACGTTTGTGTGGGTGTACATACTTCGTTGTGTAATATGTAGACACATAGGTGCACAATGTATGAAGTATGTGCATGGGGGTTGATCAAAAGGTCCTTGCAAGGAGTTATGTATTCGGCGACCATTCGTCTTGGCTTAAATCCCTCCGCGAAAGATCGGCGATGGAGTTTGCGAGAGAAACTTGGTTTTTCGCGAAAGATTTCGCGTTAGATTCTTGGAGGCATGCCTGTGCACTTCCATATTTGCAGACCCCGCTCCCTTGTAGATTGGGAGATACGCAGCACCTACACTTGCATTATTGATTCCCTGCCTGTGTTGGGAATGGTGCAAATCAATAACGTTGGCTGGGCTATTTTGGAGCAAGTTTCGCGAAAGATCCGCGAAAGACCGGCGAAAGGTCAGGGAGCTTGTTGCAAAGTTCCGCACATCGCCGGCCAGCGCAAGTGGCAAGGGCGAATGACGGTGACTGCTTGCACTGAACACTAATTACGTACTGCGCGCAAGTGAACTGCGGCTACCGTGTTTGCAAGCATAACTGCAGCAGCCACAATGGCTCCAGAGCGCACGCTGCAAACAAAAGGGCGTGGCGATGGAGTCGCGAAAGATTCGCGAAAGTTCTTCTCGCGAAGATGGCGTTTTCCGGAAACAGGAATATTGATCAACTGCCACAAATATACACATACCTACCTACCTACCTACCTACCTACATACATACATACATACATAATATGATATTAGTTTATGTATGAGCATATGTGCACTTGTAAAGCTAACAGACATGGAAAGAAGGTCCCCTTGTAATTGTAAACGCTTCGCGTTGCCCGCCTCGTCGGCCCAGCCTAGTTTGAGGGAAGGGTCAGGAACACCAAAATCCAGTGTTGGGAAGGTCCGAATCCTACTGAAAGCTTGTGACCGCACCAGTTCGCCCGTGCTAGTTCGATGTTCGGAAGCCGTCCTGCTCGGAAGGTTTGAAATCCAAAACCAAGACTATCTCAGCTGCTCAGTGCCCTTGGAAAAAAAAGGACCTCTTTCTGAGGATGAGCATTTTTAGTGGGGCTTGGCCTCCACAAAAAGGGGAACAACAACGGGCGCCACGGAACAACCAAGACCAACTTTGGGTGTTTGGGCACCTCCATTTCACGTGGCTGGCGGCTTGCCATGACATACATTTCTTGCTCGGTTGCTCAGCCCAAGACAGGTACATGGTGGGAATACAAACCTCCATTTGCTTAAGTACCCCGGAAAAATATCCCCAATAGACACGCCAGCCGGCGGGCTGAGGGACTGGGCCTGAGGCTAGTCTCAGGCTGGCATACCTTGAGACGCTGAAGGGGCTGGGCCTGCTGGATGACTTGGGGCCAGACACGAGCAGGAGGTCAAGGCCTGGTCAGCCTGGGCTGAGCCGGACTGGGGGGCTGGGGCACGTCAGGGTGGGTTGCTGGCTGCCGGGCAGCCGGACTACGGGCTGGGCTGAGCTGTGGGTTGCTGGATGGGCAAGGCCTGTTTCATACACACTTGGGCCTGAGGCTGGGTGGCGAGTTGCTGGCTGGGCTGGGCCTGAGGCCAGTCGCAGACACGTAAGACACGCTAGCTGGGCCTGAGGCTGGCATACTTTGAGACCAGTGTCAGACTGCGCCGAAGGGGCTGAGCAGGAGGTCGGCCTGGGCTGAGCTGCTTAGCCGGACTGAGGGGCTGGGGCACGTCAGACAGACACGTGAGACTGGTTGTTGGCCTGAGGCCAGTCTCAGACACGTTGGACAAACCGACCTTGGCACGCTGGGCTGAGCCTGGGAGCTGGGGTGGGTTAGGCCTGTTTCAGACAAGCTTCCCTGAGGCTGGGGGGGCTGGGCTTGGCCAAGGCGGGTTGCTGGTTGGGCTGGGCCTGAGCCTAGTCTCAGACACGTCAGACAGGCCTGGCCAGCAGGAGGTCATGCTTTTCAGGAGAAAAACACATTTTAGTGATTTTCGCAATTGTCAGCACATTTTCGACAAAAATGGACCCATGGAGCTGGACGCCGACGAACCCCGAAAATTTCAAGGTCCGCCGGACAGGATTTTGGGCCAGCCGACATGGGGGGGGGGGTGGGGCAACAAAAGCGGACAGGGCCAACTGCTCACATGGGCAGGCATGTTGAGAGCTAACTTTGAGGCAAGAAGGGGATGAGTTGTAAGACTTATTGCCAGGCAAGAAGGATGATTGAATTGCTCGACCTTCCCGCACATTGATGCATTTGAGAGCCATCTTTTCGTGGCTCTTGGGCGCGTGCCTGACTTGCCCTCATGCTAAACACGGTCAACGAAAGGGCCAGAGGCAATTTTTTAGTAGCGTGATGAGCGCTACTTAGTGACAACTTGTTCTCGGTGTGGTATGATGTTTCTGTCATTGTTGTTGCTGCTGTGGCCGTCGCTGCCGCCATCGTCGTTGTTGTTGTCGTCGTGGTCGTGTTTGCGGTTGTTCTTGCTGCCACTGTTGTTGTTGCCTTTGCTGGTGTGGTTGCTGGTGTGGTTGTGGTTGTTGTGGTTGTGGCGTTGTGGTGGTGGTGGTGGTGGTTGTTGTTGTTGCTGTTGCTGTTGTTGTTGTGGTTGCGGTTGTTGTTGTTTTTGGTGGTTGTTGGTTGTTGGTTGTCGGTTGTTGGTTGTTGGTTGTTGGTTGTTGGTTGTTGTTGCTGTTGCTGTTGCTATTGCTGTTGCTGTTGCTGGTGTTGTTGTTGTTGTTGTTGTTGCTGTTGTTGCTGTTGCTGTTGCTGTTGCTGTTGCTGTTGCTGTTGCTGTTGCTGTTGCTGCTGCTGCTGTTGTTGTTGTTGTTGTTGTTGTTGTTGTTGTTGTTGCTGCTGTTGTTGTTGTTGTGGTTGTTGTGGTTGTTGTGGTTGTTGTGGTTGTTGTGGTTGTTGCTGTTGTTGCTGTTGTTGTTGTTGTTGTTGTTGTTGTTGTTGCTGCTGTTGTTGTTGTTGTTGTTGTTGTTGTTGTTGTTGTTGATGGTGATGGTGATGGTGATGGTGATGTTGATGTTGATGTTGATGTTGATGTTGATGTTGATGTTGATGTTGTTGTTGCTGTTGCTGTTGTTGCTGTTGTTGTTGTTGTTGTTGTTGTTGCTGCTGCTGTTGTTGTTGTTGTTGTTGTTGTTGTTGTTGCTGTTGTTGTTGTTGTTGATGGTGATGGTGATGGTGATGGTGATGGTGATGTTGATGTTGATGTTGATGTTGATGTTGATGTTGATGTTGTTGTTGCTGTTGCTGTTGCTGTTGTTGCTGTTGTTGCTGTTGTTGTTGTTGTTGTTGTCGTTGTCGTTGTCGTTGTCGTTGTCGTTGTCGTTGTGGTTGTTGTTGTTGTTGTTGTTGTTGTTGTTGTTGTTGTTGTTGCTGTTGCGGTTGCTGCTGCTGCTGCTGTTGTTGTTGTTGTTGCTGCTGCTGTTGTTGTTGTTGTTGTTGTTGTGGTTGTTGTGGTTGTTGTGGTTGTTGTGGTTGTTGTGGTTGTTGTGTTTGTTGTGGTTGTTGTTGTTGTTGTTGTTGTTGTTGTTGTTGTTGCTGTTGTTGCTGTTGCTGTTGCTGTTGCTGTTGCTGTTGCTGTTGCTGTTGCTGCTGCTGTTGTTGTTGTTGCTGCTGTTGTTGTTGTTGTGGTTGTTGTGGTTGTTGTGGTTGTTGTGGTTGTTGCTGTTGTTGCTGTTGTTGCTGTTGTTGTTGTTGTTGTTGTTGTTGTTGTTGTTGTTGTTGTTGTTGTTGTTGTTGTTGTTGTTGTTGTTGCTGTTGCCGTTGCTGTTGCTGTTGCTGTTGCTGTTGCTGCTGCTGCTGCTGCTGCTGCTGCAGTTGCTGTTGCTGTTGCTGTTGCTGTTGCTGTTGCTGTTGCTGTTGCTGTTGCTGCTGCTGCTGTTGCTGTTGCTGTTGCTGTTGCTGTTGCTGTTGGTGTTGGTGTTGGTGTTGGTGGTGGTGGTAGTGGTGGTGGTGGTGGTTGTGGTTGTTACCGTCGCTGTATTGCAGTGCTTTAGTCAGAACTCGTACAGCCGGGGGGGCAATGGGAGATGGATAGATCCACCTACAGATCTAGTCTGCATCCTTGTTTGCCCATTGCCTGGCTGATCAAGGTTTTTTATTGAAAGGCAACCCACATTGATTTGGTGAGACTGCTTAGCTGCTTGTTGTTTGGCAACTGTTTACCAGCATTCTGGCTCCCCCAAACGCTGCTGCGCAACCAGATCTTGTTGAGTGTGTTGGCATGCGCATTGACATGTTGCTGTGTGTTAGCACATCGGACAGCAGATTTCAACAGACATCGGGGGTGGAGTTGAGACTTTGGCAGGTGAGGGGCAAGGACGGCGTTGGCGCCAAGATGGATCACATGGAGCTCGAGAGGGAGAAAGGCGAGGGCGGTCGTCCCTCGCCCTTTTTGGGGGAAACATGCTGCTCCCCCCCCCCCCCCGGCACTGGCAACCACTGAACGAATGGCACCCTTGAAACAAGAAAACATCATTTTGAAGTTTGCTCATTTCACACGCATGTGAGCATGTTCGATTAAAGCACACAGCTGTGATTGCGTTCATGACTTTCCTACTTGTTGCGCCAGTTACTCGTGTTTCCACAGATGCTGTGACCATTTTCAGCAGATGAAACGTCACTGGTCCCTGGATCTCCTGAATTACCCATTCCACGTGGATTGTTGTGTACAAGCGGGCCTGAACGGCTATGCCATGCTGCCTTTTTCAATGCCCTCACTCAACAGGTCCTTTGTTTTGGGGACGCATGGCTCAGGCTGCTCAACTCTGGCCGCTGTAGGCTGTAGTAATCCGATGGCACTGCCCTTTCCAAGCTGGAGCAACCATGCTTATTCACACCCGTTTGAGGATTGCTACTGTGGTGCTATCCGTTCTGGAAAATTGCTGTGTGAGGCCTTCCGGCTGATTGAATTGGGGCAGTCTCCCTGGAACCGTTCATGAATTGTCACAACACGGAATCGTGCGCTTTGTAAAAATAATTATGCTATGCTGTCTTGTTGCATCTTGTGCAAAGCTTCTGGTTGCAGTTCGTCGCATTTCTGACATTCAGATCCTGAGCGATGTGAACTCGACCGCAGCGTTTCAGCCGATGCAGAATCTGGCTGCACAGCCACAACATCATAGGCAGCATTGCCAATGTAGGCACCTCGAGCATGCGCTCACTTCCAGCTGGTACTTTTCTTCCTGGAGTATTTGGGCGATAGGGATAAAGCCATGGGAGTTGTGTCAAGGCCAGTGCCTGTTAGCCTCTGGATTTGCCAGTCTCAATGGGGCCAAGTCCGTTGGCAAGTACAAATGTGTGTTTGTGATCCTTGATGCCCCTTCAGGCAATGCGGGTCCTTTCATTGCACAGTGGACAAAATGAGAGAAGGAATGCAAAGCTTGCAGCTGTGGCCTGAGGAGTCAGTCACACAGATTTCACCATGACAACATCGGAGCACCTCGGCGCATTCGCCGCCGATCTTGCGAGTGCCGCAATTTGTTCCCGCTTGGCCGATGGGCGCACCTGATCGAGGCCAGGAATGAAGTGACCAACTTACCATGGCTCAGATTGGTGCTGTGGGGTTGCCACGCTCAAGATGGGACTCCCAGAAAAACGTCGTAGTATATAACCAGATTCTAGATTGGGGGGGGGTCAATTTCGAGGTGCCATGAGCAACAGGAGTTGCTCCTCTTGCTTTCAGGTAGATGGGTAGATGTAAGCAACCGTGGGAAAGGGTGGTGACTTGCAATTCACGCTGCACAGTGACCCTCAAAGCTGGCTGCGCCAACGGCGCTGGACTGGTTTGGGCGGCTTGTGCCCACTTTGACTGGATGCGAGCAAACAAGGCCAAGCCAAGAGATGATGTAGCTTCAAAGGAGCTTGCTTGATGCTTGCCGATTTGGCAATTGCTGGGATCAATCTGGGAGTGCTGCCGCTTGCCAAACTGTTGCCCGACCGGTTGTACACAAAGATCGGGTTTCCTTCCTGGTGAAGGACATCCCCGGTCCCGCAAACAGCAGCTTGGTTTCAGGTTGCAATTGACCTCAGCTAGGATGGGGAGTTGCGGTGTTGCCCAGGGACCCCATCCAGTTCTTTCTGCATCCTTTGGTCTCCTTGTGAAGCATTCCTTGAGGGGGTCGCCAATTTCTCACAAAAGGTTAGGTTTCCTGACCAGCCCTTTCACCCAATGTCCTTTCGGCTCCAGGCCATGCTGGGGTTCCCGTGGTTGGTGCTGGGTGCCGCCATGCTGGGGCTCCTCCTGCGCCCTTGAAGAAAGAAGTCCGACCCGCATCTTTCCCGGGCGGGGGATGGCCATATCAAGTCGGAGTTCTTTACGTGTGACATATAGGGGGAAAATATAGATATGGGTATGGGTCAAAACTAAGCCACCAGCGGACCGCAGGGGTTTTGGTCCATGTTTCCACTTGCCAGGGCTCCATTTTGGGTACATATTTTTTACCCACAGCCATATCAGAGAGCCCTGACATGCGGCATTTCGGAGCCTGGCTGTTTTGTTCCCGGCCGACCAGCCCAGTCGACACTTGTCAAAGCATCCACAGGGTTTGCCGGAAAGAGCTGCGACGGCGCTGTGGGCGCCCACCAGCAACATAAAGGATGCCCCTCCCCATCTCCAAAGTATGAATCATTAGACTGGGTAGCTATCAAAGCTATTGTGTTGCCAATTTTCGTCGTCGGCCTTGCCCAGACCCGTTCTCAATCCGCTTGTCAAACACGCGCACACACACACACACGCAAGGTTTGCCCAGCTCATCCCAGGGCACTCAGCCGTTTAAAGCCAGTCCCCCTAATGCTACACAGTCATGGATCATGAAAATTTCCCGCTGGCAAGATAGTTTCGAAACTGTTCCACTTGCTTCCCCGTTGCCAAACAAGGGGTTCAAAGACAAGGCCGCAGACCCCTGAACCCTGCAAACACGATTCTCCAAAACCTTGTTGATCTTGGAGGCAGGGGAATGGGTATAACCAGCAAACATTGTTGATTGCAGACAACCGTATCCTAGAAGAGACTCTAGCCGGGCTTACACCCTGTCATGATGCGATTAAATTTAGGCCTTGTGTTTTGTTTGCGTTTGTTGTTTTCTGTGAACCGCCCTTCGTTTCAAGGTGGGATTCCGAATTCACGTCTCCAAGCCTTTCTTTTCGACTCGCGATGGTGCAGGTTGGCCCACGAGAGTGCCATTGTTGCGTCGTTGATTGCCGATGTGACGTGGAACACGTCACCTGAGAGAGAAGCGCTTGAAATATCCGTTCCTTTGGAAGATGCACAGGCACCCGAAAGAAGATTTATGGATCCTGACGATACTTTACATTTCACTTGGCTCCCTTTTCTCAGACATATCGGCTGGTCATGTTGTCGCGCCTTCCTGAGGTTGAGTTACATTATTTACCATTACTTTGTTGATCCGCGGCCTGGCTGCAAGTGAGTGGATTCTGCAGGGGGGAACGGCCCATCTACAAAAGCACTTGCAAGAAAGCCGGTCATGCAGGGCAGTTCTGAGGTTATATGTCCGACAAAGAGCCCTCCTGTTCTTGTTTGTCCGCAAGGGAACCGGCAGCACATCAACTATGGAAGGGCCTCCCAAGCCGTTCCAGTCACATGGCGGTGGTTTTGTTCCATGTGCAGGGTAAGCTAGGATGAAGCTGGAATCCAATTCCATCCAAAGCTGAAGTATGGTCCGCATTGTTGGGCAATCAAGACATACTGCATATTCATTAGTTCATGGAGCAATCGGCCCAAGGTTTGAAGCCCTGCCCTGCGAAGACTTTTGCTGTGATTTTGCTGTAGCCACTGCACTTCGATGCGGACTGGTGCTTGACGAATCGGAGCGGCCTTTATGGGTTCCTATGTCATTGGTGCTGTCTCGTTTAGCTTTGATGCCCTCAGATGCGTACTTTCATTTTTGTTTACGTGGACTGGGGTCAATAGGTACGAATTGGGGTTAGGCAAGGTGCCATTGCTAGGAGGAGCAGCTACGAAGGGGATGCAAAGGTGGTAGCCCCTTTGAGAAGCACTGTATGTGTGTGCGGAAGAAAGATAAGTGTGGTAAACTGACTTGGATTTAGGTTTCATGAAGATGGGAGAAAACATGTTGTTCCACAGCAACGATTTGGACACTTATAGATCCCGCGTCAATCTTGCACTTCTTTTTTTACATGCTTTGCTTGGCGGATGGAGCTGCGAATACCAGTGCTAATTGACCTGGGCCTTCGAATGCATTGCATGTTTTTTTTGTGTGTGTGTGTAAAGAGCCGCTCCAAATGGTCGGCTTCATGTCTTTTTGTCTCTCTCCAAATGGTTGGTGGAAACCCACCGGGGTCCAAAGTCTAGAGACCTCTCTGAAAAAAAACACCTAGGGAAGAGTCCTATCTCCTGGCAATGGTCACGGTCATACTCTCCCTGACGGTGGGGATACTTTGCACCTTGATCATTCCGGAGCCTCGGCTGCAAGCCTGGCATGCTGTTAACGCCGTTGGAGGGTAGCCTTGATGTACCCGCAACCCTTCCTTGCGCATCCTTCTTGGCCGACCATGGCCAAAACCACATAGAGCTGGATCAATGACTTCTGCTGAAGTGAAAATCCCATGGCTGTGAGTCCGGATGGAACCCTGGCTGACATCCCGTCATGCAAACTGCAAGCAGACAAGCACGGATCATTGGCCAATCGAGCAAAAGGGCGTTTTCCAAGCACCAGCCAGTTATTCAGACACTGTGCCAGCTTGTTGAGACTTCCCTCCTTTTCCCCTTTCCTCGCCGGTTGCTTTTCATGTTTTGCCACGGCCACGCGCAGCTGATACAAATCTCCAGAGGGCTTTATTCAAGGCCATATTTGACGCTTCTGCCCGCGGGTTGGGCGGGCAAAAGCTCAAATTGTATCTGATTTGTTGAGGGGCTCCTTCTGATCCTGTGAGGGGCAAGCATGCAGTAGCCAGAGTATTTTGGAATGCCCCGCGATGGGATTTGTGGCACTGTTGCCGTCATTATCACTTGTTTCTCAGCATGCTGCATATCGGTTTGGCCTGAGCTTGTCTTCAGTTTGCACGGCTTGTTGGTGGCGCCAGCTCGCAGGTGGACATCTATGTGATTTCCGAAGGTGCCTTGGACTGCAGAAGCCTGAAGCGGGGTGTGTCGCACACTTTTCTCCAAAAACGAAAACGAGCGCGCCACACAAACGAGCCGAACAAATCCGAAAGTGCCAAGAAGCCATTCAGTGTGGTGATGAGGTAAGGCTCGAAGTGGCAAGCTGGAAATTGGTCGCAAGGAAGTGCGTCTCTTTTTCGTCCCAGTGGCAGCCCTCCTGCCTCCCGTTTTCGAGATTTCCTTTCAAGCAACCAAAAAGACTGCCTTTGCTTCAACGCATGAAAG